AAAGATGGCGTTACGTATCACGATGGGGGAAATGGGAAATGGGAAACGATAGATGGGTGAAAGGATGGCGAAAAAAATCGCTTTCTAACTTAAAACACCATTTGATATACTGTTGATTGATTATTTCACGTGTTTTTGGCCGCGTGAATTGCTGTGGTCATTTTCCCGTAAGTGTACATTACAGTATCATGAAGACGGCGGTGTTCTTCCCTAGTTAGATTGCGACATACGGCGCTGATCTACATGGCAACTTGTGGGTTTCCCCCTCATCGAGGTATCTCCCACCTGCCGGATACCGCCCCAATCGGGGCAAGATCTAAGCTCCCGACTGGACTCCGGACATGTGCAATAGTGCAGTGTAGGAACGTGTGTGTGTGTGTGTGTGTGTGTGTGTGTGTAAATAAGGAGTGAGGACATGACAAGGAACAAGAGGGAAAGATCGCGCGCGGTCATTGGTCCGTTTGCTAGGATACTGCTTTGTATCGATATGAGCAGTCGGTCGCTAGAACTTTCCTCCAGACAGCGGCTGAATTCGAATGTGCGTTTGAAGAGATTCTTATGGTGACTATAGTAAAGGAGAAGGAGGAGAAGCAGGTGCTTGCCAATTCTTGCACTTCGTCACATCTTGTGATCATAAAGCGAAGTCATTCACTCTTTGCGCAAAAAGTCGAACCTATTGAATCGAGATGTGAAATCTTTCTCCTCCTTTTTCTTTCATTCCCTTACAACATCAAAATATACTTCAAACACATTTCAATGAGACATTCAAAGCGTGTAGCACCTTTTGTAAAAAAAAAAAACAATAAAACCAAACGTATTATGTTTTGTTTTTCAATTGCTGTTTTTAAATAGAACGGTCGACATTTAAGTCTTTACCAGGTAGATGAACTGAGTATAATACTACGTTTTGTTTTGTAATAAACCTTTCCTTTCTTAAAATTACGGCTAAAATAAATCATTTTCTAATTGCCTTTGGATGCCAAGAAGAAAAGTGCAAGCAGATGAAGGACATTTATTATTACCGCTTCTCCGACAAACCTTCTAAAATGTCAATATTCCATTTATTTCAGAGTGACATGCAAGGAAATTATTCTCCGATTTCTGAAGGCAATTCTAAATGTTCCGTAACGTCAATTGCCCCCAGGGACGTACTTAACTACGGGAACGATTCATTATGACCTGCGACAAGGCAACGAGTTTCAGACGATTTTCCGAAAACAAAGCGCTTTGGAGGTGGTATTCACAGCATTAGCCCATAAAGCTTAAAGGTCAGAACAAGCGTCATTAACTTCTGATACACAAAAACTCTTCAATCGACTTTACTTCCAGCGGATATAGGATACAAGCAAGAAGTATCGCTATTTCTAGTAACAATTAGCATTGTAAGAAACCATGTCAAAGAGGAAAGATATATCTTTTTACAATATGACATCTGTGTTATTAGTCTGTTTCACGAACACAGTTTACATGAGTATAATACATCTCTCGAATACACGTGGTGGCTCGTGAAGAGAAGGCAAGGTGATACATATCTTATATAAAAAAATGAATATTTCTAGAATATAATATGAATATACTAAAGAAATGATGTACATAATTTGTTCGTATGCCAGCAATAAAAAGGAATTTTTCCGTGGCAACAAATCGGTTATAAAACGGTATTTTATGGCAGAGTTAGTCTTCACTGCCCGTCCTCATTAGCTGGTTGTCCAGTATTGTTCGAAAATTTATTTATCATAATTATGTATTAAACAGCTTCTCTCTACTCGCTTCATCAGTTGAGAATATGACGAAATAAAGTTAACTAAAACAAAAATACATATTGCTCTTTAAACGATTTTAATTATTCAAAACCTACACATATTTTCGTGAATTAAAGGAGTCATCATTCTTGAGTAATTAAAATTATTTATAATGGCCATTAAATAAATAAAATTGTTAGTAGAACAATATTTCTTTAACGTGGTATTAAGATAGAATTGTAACGAAATGATAAATTTTAAAATAGTTTGAATTGCTGTGTCTAGCGCTTGCTGTGAGAATGAGCGTAATACATGAAAATATCTTTTATTAAACGAGCATTTTTCCAACTTATTTTTATTGTTTTTATTTCTTCAGTCATAACGCTTTCAGAATATTACGCTGCAATGCTCAAACGGAATATTTTTATTCTAGTAAGAGTACTGTGGCAATGAAATATATCAAATGCAATAATTACTTATGTGTTAATTGTACATTAAACAATATTTTTATGATAATATGTTCTTTTATATTCTAAGATTCAGAAACTTTTCCACAGAACATCATCTTTGTGGTATCCATCATTGTAATAGCTATTTCCACAATTTCTTTCATCCATTTGTCCTTCTATTATTCTTTGATGCATATTTCGTAAACTATTCGTGAGCAACGATGTTTCATTTTAATATGCAAAGCACAATTTTTCTTCCTGCCCTTTATTCGTGAACATTTGATCATTTATTATTCATAATTTCATAAACTTTTCTAAACCAAGAGTTGAGAGAGAATTTTTTAGTCGACGAGAACGTCAGAGCCGAGAACGATGCCGAGAGACTACGAGAAGGTGAAATTAAAGCGCGAGAGAAGGAAGGTGTGAAAATTAAACAGAGAATTAGAAAGAAAAGAACGAAAGAGTGAGATGATTAGGATCTAAAACAGCGATAGAGCAGAGAAAGGGATAGAGAGGCGGAGAGAGGGAGAAAATTAAAGAAGTCGAGAAAAAGAGTGTAGTGTGTGTGAGACATTCGAACATGCCAGGGTCACCATCACAAAGATCGGAGAGCATTCGAGTGTAAAAGTGAACGAATAATCGTTTCGGGTGCAAGTTAACGTGCCCATGTGCAAGCAAGTGTGCTTTCGGGCTGAGCGCGTGTGTGAGTTTCGGGCAGTGCGGGAGGTTTGGTGGCCGCGGTGGGGGGGGGGTTGAGTTTGCGCGGGTTGGTAGAGGGTGCGGGGGAGGGCGGAGGGGGGCTTGTCTGCGCCTGTATTCCGAGTGACGGCCTGTTTATTCGCGACCCTCGAGGCAGCCGAAGCACCTGCGCCCTGCTCCCGCGCCGTCTCATCGCCCTGAGAGCTGCGGAGGCTGCGTGGCAGGCGGCGCTCGACGCGACCTCGCGGTCCATCAGCGGCGGCGGCGGCGCGCGCTCCGCCGGAGGACGAGGACGAGGCGACGAGCGAGGTCGCTCACGCGCGGCACTCCGTCCACTCAAACGGAAGTGGCGGATCCGGGGGGGGGGCATGAAAAGGCCTACGCTTTTCGTTTGGTACCTTTCTTTATTTGGCGAAACTGATTTAAATATGTTAGAATTATGTAATTAATTAAAAAATAATATCGCACAGTCATATATACACTACAAAAAGAATACACGATATAATAACAAGTATGTCTATTATTATCGAATAAAAATCTTATGATAGCCCTCTCTAAAATTATAGGTTGTATTACCCCTGTCAAACGGCGCAAAGAAATTTGTGAGCCGGAGGGCCAGGACGGGAGAGAAAAGGAAGAGAACGTATGTGCGTGTGTTAGAAAAGGGTGCAGAAACGAACTGAAGTGCGAGTCAGAGAGCGAATATGGAAAAGGAAGACGAGGAAAAATGTGGACGGGGGAGAGGGCAAGAGAGGAGATGTCAGAGCAAGAATGATAGCTCGTTAGTGCAAGTGAAAGAGAACGCGCGGAAGAGAGACAGCATGAAAAAGAGAAAAGGAAAATGATTGACAGACTTGTAGTGCACATTAAACAGCGCGTGTAAGAGAGATGGAGAACGGAGAGAGAGGGAGAAACAAGAGAGAATGGAGGCAAAGAGCGGAGGGAGAGAAAGGGAGAGGGAAAGACAAATGGGGAAGGGAAGAGAAAAATAAACTATTTCAGTAGTGAACATGTGTCCGAAAACGTTGCGAAATTACTTTGGATTTCTCGTGCGAAAAATTGTATCCTATTCACAACTTTCATTTTGTTAATTTATTTTCTAATTAAGTTTGGTTTTTAGTACCACCTCAAATACAGATATAGTATGGTACTCTAGTTTTATTAAGACATTTTATTCGTTATTTAAATTAAACAATGTTTAATGTTTTAGAAAATAACTGTCGTGATAATAATCGTGATTCCTCGTTTTTTAGAAGTAGATTCATTTTTAGATAATATGTAATGTCGCAACAATATATTTATCATAAAACGTTATTCTTTATCCCTGGATCGTTTGTTGCATCATTTTTGCGGATTTTTTTTAAAGATAGACGTTGCTTAAATAGCATAATCAGTTACCAGTGGTAGCCTATCACTGTGGACACTTTCAAGTTCGGCTGTATCGATACAGTTGCGGTCTTTGTACATTCTTTCTTCACCTTAATTTGGCAGGTTGGTGACAAATTGACAAAAAGATTTTTGATTGATCCACTTGAAAAAATTAACTTCACATTTGCTTGAAATAACTATCTCAGAGTGTGCTGATACCACATTTTCCTATCATTTTCCTAAACGGCTGTCAAGGCTATAGCAAACTATCATTTCAGAAAAATGAATATTCTACCGACGAGTTGGAAATATTTTAATTAATTTTTATATAAAAGTGTCGGCGAATAAACACAAAAATATCGAAATGAATTATATAAACACGACTGTAATTTTGTACACTAAAAACAAAACTCTCTTGATTCATGGAAATGTTTGTAATGTAAATGAATATCTTCAGTTTCAACCTTAGTATTCCAATCAACACACATCTAACTTTCGTACGATTCAAACACTACATTCAAAACCTCATTGATTTTTTTCCTTGCCCATTCCCATGAACCTTCATATTTACATGAGCATAAAATCCTTCATCGTATGCAAGCGCGTCAAAGAATGTGTGACCGCGCCATACTTGTTTATTCCCATACTCTGAAGAAGACGTCTGTCTGTTTCACCGAAGCTCATGTACGTCCTCCCCCCCCCCCACACACACACATGGCACGCACCTTGCTACATATTTTACGACCCTCGAAGTGCACGTTGACCGCAAAGTGCTTTTAGAGCCTCGGAGGGATTACTCTGCGCAGACGAGTCGTCCGGCCGCCAGAGGACAAAAAGAAGGCGAAGACTATGAAGAAAAAAAAAAAAGAAAAGGCAGAATAAATGTTTGTGGCAATTTCAAACACGGCGACTTGTTTATTAGACGCCTCTTGCCTTCCCGGAAAGTGTCTCCGGGCGCAGGCGGATTGACGGAGAGAGAGGGAGAGAGAGGGACAGAGTTATCGCGGTCGCGATAACTGCTACGACACACCGCCGCCCGCCCGCCCGTCGGCGCGCCGGGCGCCGCTCTCCATGCGAACCTTTTGGAACGTGCGTGTCAAGGAATAAAAAGAGTCCACGGCAAATAGAGGCAATCATGGTGGCAAATGAGGAGTGCAGGGGTAAAGGAGAAATGTTCATTCTCAAGACCCATTTCTACTAATTAACACATCAATTAATAGTGATTAGAAACGGGTGTATTGGCAATCATAATTTATCTTTAATTAACTGAATTATTTCTTGACGAGAGTGCTCTGATGTCACGTTAGAGCTCGAATACGAATTATTTAATAAACTTCATTACAAGGAGCGCTACAATGAACGTTTAATGTCACGTGGTTCTACTGAATTCATTTCGACACCCCATTCTCCATAAGTGGAAATATTGTTTAAACAAACCATTGTTACTATTCTAATCGAAAAATCTACTTTTTGGAATACCCGTAAGTGGTATGAGTTACTGTTACTCATTTAAAATCTAATAAAAAAACCCTGAAACTCGTCATAAATAAAAATTGGATTGCTACTGCATACTTCATGTCATGAAGGGGACTCTTTCGTTTCTACCACCATTCCACTCACGTCTTTTTACACAAACGCAGTATTTGTTTCAAATGAAAAAAAAATTGCATTTCTGGTGTTTAATGATTATTAAAAAACTTCAAAAATGGACTTCGTGTGTTTCACTTGTTAAATGTCGGTAACTAACAAAATGTACAACACTAATTATTAAGTAGGTTTGTACTTCATATTGTCTACATTCAAAACACATCCTGAATCTTAAATACCATGCAATTTTAACGATTTCATTTCACAAAATTTTAATTTCCACTGCTATAATGCATTAATTACCGCCAAAACTCGTCGACGTACCTAAATATTTGCACGCTTTACTTTCGTCACGATTAATTTCGCCAGAGACGATAGAACTGACACCTCAAAGAAAACTATTGACGGGTAATCAAGCCCAAATCAGCATTTTACGTCTTCAGTCAGAGGCTCTTAGCTGATAAACGCTCTCTTGTTTTGACCATCCGCAATACGAATACAGCGAACTCTCTTCTCTCCTGGATTCCGGCGAACCACGTCAGATCGTTAATTCCGCTGAGAGCACAAATGAGTCGTTGAGAAGCGAGTGATTGCTCCTTTTCGATAAGTGTGCTTTCATTAGCACACACTAATCGACTCTAGCATTAAATCGTGATAACGGAATTCCCTACACTTGTTCAACACTACGATAACTCTTATCTATTTTCTAACTTGTATTGAAAGAAAGCCATGTAGTACCCGGCGATTTGTGATGCACCATTTGTTATCTTGGAAACGCAGTAAAGGGAAAAATAAAAAATATTTTTATACTAATTTCCAATGCATGCAAAAATGGAGAGAAACGTATTGAGCTTCTGAACATGTGAGAGGTGGCAATTGTTTTTTCTAGATAACCAGGAACTCGGGAAAATCAAAAAACAATTAAGCAATTTTGATTTTGCACTATAATGCAAATAATTGATGGTGTTATGTCGCCTATTCTTATACTGCGCGTACAGACTGAATTCTCGTAGTTAATGAGCCACTGCTTACGACATAGCTGATATGCGATAGGAAGGCTGGAAGGAAGAGGCCGCTTGCCCTTACATATTTGCTACTCAGGGGTTGGGGTATGGTACAGCAAAATTTTTCCATGTTTTGGGACATAAATAACTGTTGTGTTGTATAAATACACCACTATATCTAGTGAAGTAGTACTAGTAAAATATATTATTTGCAATTTGAAATTTAAATTTAATTTTTAAATTAAATTTAATGCAGTTTGATGCCAAAGAATTTTGCTTGTTGAACAGTTAACATCACTTGCCACCAGAGAACAGTTGATTGTTACTTTGAGAAGAATAATTTTGTGTGGTGTTTTGTTCAGCAACACTTTTGCTGCTGCCGGCCTAACTAGCTGCGCTCTATTTTTGAGATTGAATTAGCGGGTGATAATGAGGACAATAAGAATGGTAATGATTTTTAGTAGTAGATTAGAAGTAGTTGTGATAATGAAGTAGCTGTGAAATGCTGTGGAGGAAAGAAATGAGAAAAACACGAGAACAAACAGAAAATCTGAAAAACACTGATCAAAGTGAGCTGAAATGGATAAAAGCGAACCTCTGCAAATGCTAGAGGTCGGCTCTTCAGAGAAGCCTTTCACGTGGATTTCTCCTAACAAATCCAAGCGATAAACGTCCACGTTGCTACAGTAACTGAACTGTTTGGGTCATTTGACACGGAGGGCTTATAAGCTAATCTGTTTGTTACATACAAGTATTTTTCTAAGCAGCGATTTCATGCTAGACGCCTGATAATATATGGTTGCAGAGCACAAAAGATATTAGTGCATTTTTGGAAAGTACACTTTTAAAATTAAGAGTGCGAGCGAAAATTCCATTTTATTTTGGGTACAAAAGATATTCAAATTGAACGAACAGTTACTGCGTTCTAGCGATGGAAATAAAGTGCCTTTCATAGAATTTTCTACAGTTACACAACATTGAACTCAATTTTCTCAATATCACATTTACTGCAATCATACGAGTACACTATGCTCTCCAAGGCCTTTATATTGACGGAAGAACCAACTAGACCTAAAGAGACCGGCTTAGGGAATAAATTAATGCCTCTACAGTGCCTCTGACTGGGAGGTCCTAGGACTTCGAGACCCAACGTTGGCAGGGTTTTCGCCATTAGCCATGTGGCTAGGTCAAGACAAGCCGCTGTCTGGAGGACACTTCCAGCGGCAGTCTCCTCTGATTAGTAGTTAACATCAGGCGAATGCCGGAGCAACCCTAACAAAAAAGCTACGGACCGCGCGCGATCTTTCATTCCGCATCCTTGTCCTATGTTCGCCTCGCAATCTCTCACACACTTACATTTTCATGCCCTACACTACCACACATGTCGAGGGACCAGTCGAGAGCATAGAGCTTGTCGTGGATGGACCGGGTCCACGCTGGTGGGAGATACCTGGTTGAGGAAACCCCTCCGTTAACTGGCATGTTGGTCGTAGCCGGATCTCACTATTCCGCGGGAAAATTTCACCGCTATAAAAATGCACTACACTTACGGGAATATTGCCCTAGACGTCGACGCACCCGGAAACCCAAATCAATCAGTCAACCCATGAACCGACTAGAGAGCAGAGAGCAACGCGAGAGCTAACCAAGAGGTCCGTGCTCTTCATTTAACGCTCCCGGCCAATGGATCGAGAGCATCTGCTGGCGCGGCGCGGCGCGCGTGCCGCCGGTTCGAAGTTTGAGCTGCCCATTGATCCGGCGGTCGCCGGGCGCGGCGCGCCGGCTGGCGACGCCATCTGTAAACACTTGAGCGAATCTGCGGCGGTCGCCGGGCAATTGAGGCTGCGCGGGGCAGGGGCCGGGCCTTAATCAACGTTTGGCAGCGATACAATTCGGCGGCGACGGAGGCGGCGGCGGCGGCGGCGGTGACTGGCCGAGGAGGATGAAGAGGGCGCCGTGACGTTGACGAACAAGTTGGAAGTCGACGAGGAGTTCAAACTGGCGAAGAGATGAATGTGGCCGGAGGTGAAAAGATTTAAAGTTAAAAGGGTTTGAATGTGGTGGGAAGTTGAAAATGGCGGGGTTTTGGAAGTACAGAAGTACTGGTAGAGCAGGGGTGTGGAAAATGGATGAAAGTTATAGTGACGATGACTGTGGTGATGGTGATAAAAATGGTGAGTGATGTGGCGACGGGGGCTAAGTGCATTTCAGAGTGGTGTTTCGCTAGTTCGTTTTTCATAGTCATAAATAGTTCCGATCGCTGAAGTGTCAGTGGGTCTCGTGAAGGTGGTGGTGATAAGATCAGAGAAGACTGTTATACCATGATGATGCTGATGCTGATGCTGATGCTGATGCTGATGCTGATGCTAATGCTGATGCTGATGCTGGTGGTTGGCCGGAGGCATAGGCGGTTGGCGTTGTCGGTTGTGGCCTTTGCTATACGATACTGACAATAGCGATGGTAATTAGATATTTTCGATTGTGGCTGTTAGACGGTAGTAACTGCGATGTTCAGAAGGTGTCGATTGAGGCTATGAGATGATGATTGTCGAGATGAGATCGAGACAACTGTAGTGATCTTGGTGACTGAGAGGTAGAGAGGGCAGAGGCTGATGTCGAGGCGGTGACAGCCGCAGCGCCACCGGAGGAAGAGCCGAGCCAATGGCAGCGGGGCTTGCGGCCGCAGCTGCTTCGCCACAGAGAGAAACTCGGACCACAGACGCGGACCGCGTGTCAATGAACTGACCAGCGACTGCCAGACGCTGTCGTTAACTTCTAAAGCGAATAGGAGAAGGTGGACTGAATCGCCGCAATGGGTCTTCTGAAAATTCTTTGTGCTGACCGCATCAATGTCTGTCGTTTTATATACTACAAAAGGAAATCATTGATGTTAAATCTAGGTTAACTTAAAACAAGAGTACAATAAATTGTGCTAAATAAAACACGAATAATGTGTGTGCGTTGTAGCTGTATAACAAATTAGTTAAACCAATATAAGAGTTAGTACTGAAATTCAATGATCGAGTTGCACCATAAATTCTCAATCTCTCGTTTTTGTCAGTAATGCTTATGCCGAATTTCGATCTTCAGTTTTCTTACATTTTCAGTGATGTATAAAATAAATAATATGATCTTGGAACTGTCAATCATTTATTATTTCATTGGTTTTCTAATTTATTAATTTCTTTACTTAGTGGTTTTTTATTTCACATCTGCACAATTTACAATCAGTTCTTAAAGAATATTTAGTAAATGGTTTGAAACGACACAAACAACATATTTACATACACTAATTGTATACGTTTAAAAGTTGGATTCACTTATTGGATACGTTTAGAGTTGAGGGCCTCTTCGACCGTTATGGTCCCGAGGCTCATGAGTTCTCATTGGCAGATAATAGCGTTACAGGTAATGAAATAATGATTATATAGAAACGGGTGACCTCTGAAAAAACCTACCGAGAGCGCCTTTGTCCACCAAAATTCTACGCGAAATAGTCAGGGGTTGAAAACAAGCATTAGCGGTGTTTTATGCCATGCCCCTCTCCCGTTGTTCTTCCTATCTAGTGTGTGTCTGTATTATTCTGAAGCCTGTTGTTGTGAACATTTCGTGGTAAATGCATTGAAAGTCCAATGGACTATCTCATTACGCGAATTTTCATAGCCAATTGACGATAAATATTCGGCACACATTGCATCGGAATCCACACAAAATAATACAGAAACTGGGATTCAAATTTAAGATCATTAACTCACCGAATGTTAAACGACTGGAAAGCTCCGGATTTAAAATGCAATAGCATGCGCAGCAACGTACCTGAAAAAGAAAAGCAAAAAATGTGAACTCTCACGTAACAAATCTTTCCAATTTTACACTCGTTAATTCTTGCTACATTCAATATAAAATATTCAGAATATTTCAACAAAAAATGTGTAACTCCAACATAGCCAGAAAGCCCTTAGATAAGCTCTTAGCTCCCGACCGGTCTCCGGCTTGTGTGGTAGAGTATTGCATGTAAATTATGTGTGTATGTATGGGGTGAGGATAGAACAAGGAAGAGGACAGTGAGATCGCGCGCGGTCCGTGGCCCGTTTGTTAGGGCAACTGCTCCGGCATTCGTCTGATGTCTGACGGAGTAACCACGGGAAACTACATAACAGAGAGCCGCTAGAATTCTCCTCCAGACAGCAACTGAATTCGACATAGCTAACAAGTTAGGGTCGAAAATCCTGACACCGTCGTCACTCGATCCCAGGACCTCCCGGTCAGAGGGACTGCAGTGACATCAGCTGATACCCAGAGCCATTCCTCCCGGTCATTTTGACCCAACACACAAACGCACAGTACGTCGGCGTTCTGCGCGGATACGAAGGCGATTTACATTCCCGTTCGCCGCGAACCACAAAAGAGGCGCGGGGGGCCTTTCCGCGGAGGAAAGCGCCGGAGAAACGTCGAGCGGAGCGGAGAGGCTCACGGTCGGAATGCGCGGAAGATCGCGGCTTCGATTTCCAATACTGATAAGGCAACGGGGACGCGGAGCTGCGCGCCGCTGTCTCTGCGGAAGACGCTCTCCGCCGCAGCCGCATCGCCCTCGGCCGCCTTCTTTTTTTTTTTCTTCTTTCTTTTTTTTTCTTTCCTTTTTTCTTACTTCAAACGGCTGAAGCATTCAGATAAATAGAGGATGCTTCAAAAGCGCTGTGTAGGTATTAAAAAATGCATGTGTTATTGTTGTTAATAAGGACAAGATTATATTAGATAAATAGACGATGCTTGAAATGCGCTATGTAGGTAATTAAAAAAAATGCACGTGAATTGAATTAATGCCTTATTTTACGTGGCGAGACTCAGGCCATTTGGCCTGCTCTTCCGTCTGACCATGCAAATTTCGCTACGCTCCTTTCATCAACTAGCAGAGAAAGGAGGTATTTCTTGGGCGAGAAACAGGCGATTTGAAGTTAGCTCAGAGGCGTATTTAGGCTTGAGGATCTTTTCATGCAAGTAAATCTACTAACATGGGACAGCCGGCATTACTTCCCCTCCGAAGGAAGGCGTACGAAGGATTTTTTTGTCCCTTAAAAATTCACGGCTTCAATCGTGTTTGAACCCACCAACTTGGGTACAACAGTCCGAAACGCTAACCGTTACGCCATCGCCGCTCGAAAAACCAACGCTGCGTGCATGTGTTATTGTTATTACACATACACAATATTGTACTCCAAACATACGCAAGTCCAAGTGTTATTTTGATTAATGATATGTTTCGTGTTGGACAATTCTCCCCTTAATGTGTTATTGGTTGAGAATAATAAATTGTCAATGACTATTTAAATACTTACATTTTAATTTTATGTTCTGATTTCAATGTTCCGTTTTACAATTTTACTATTTTTACTGTTTTTATTACCTAAAAATCTGCAGCTTACTCATTCATAACTAACCAAGTCCATAATTTGTGATTTCCGCCCGTGACATTTTCATAACCGCTGCCTCCATAATAAACTTTATCCGCGCCGTCATCATTGCACTTGACCTTAGATGTTTAATGTTAGATGTTCTTGTAGAAATAATTACTAGCATTATGATTGTCGGCAGAATATTGGCTGTTCACTTCCCTTTCCGAGATCTCATTGAAAGCAAGATCGCCAATGTTTAGATTGTAATACTGCGAGAGACCTAGATTGCAAAAGCTTAGAATGCCTAAAATGTTGGCCTAAGAGTCGACAATTATGTTTACGATGTTGAGTTTCCTGCACAGACAAGATAGAATTGTCTTTGATAACGTAATACATGCCTTTCCATCATCTTTGTCGTTTTAAGCTTGACTACAGGTGTCCCCATCGTTATTCTTCAGCTGTCGCCATTTTTCTTGCATTCATCATCACCATCGTCGTTGTCGTCATTTCACTATTCACTAAACGGGAAATATTGGAGTACAAGCCTCAAATAATTTGAAACAGAATTATAGAATAAAAGTACATTAGAATTTTAACGTTTTAAGACGTTTCCAAAATGTCTGATCTCAAAGTTTTTCATAAAAGCACCCATGTGTCAGTTCCCATGGTGTATATATGGTGTTCGCATGGTGTATGTGTCAGTTCGCAATCGTGTAGTAGGGTCTTTTTCAAACTACATTTCACTAAAATTGTGTTACCTTCCAATACACCTTGCGACATCTTAGCAGACAATTTACACATATCACATTTATCTGTATATTGTTATTCTTATACCCGTTATTCCTAGCTCTCCTTACAGGTTCATTATTACATCGTACTTTTTTCCTTACCTTGACTCCTCAATAGTCACAATTATTACCTACACTCACATTGTAATACACCGCCTCCTCCTCATTTTTCCCTTCTTACACTATTATCTTCTCCATCTCCCTTTCCCTTTCTTCTCCCAGACCTCTTCCTTCTCCCGTATTCTTCATTCACCTACTTTGATTTAATGTACTCCAGTGATGTGGTAAATCCACCAAAAGCTTCGGTGCTTCATAATTCGAGTGAATACAAATTGATGGGAGGAAACCCCAAATTGAAGAACGGCGAAGTATACAATGAAAGTCACATAGAAGTATTCTACGCAAAAATATTACGAATACTGCGACAAGTACACGCAGTACATCAGCAGGCTACTTCATGGGTTCGGCAGTGGAGTTAATGATGTACGAGCCCCTCGCCTCACATCGCGCCTGGTCGCTCGTCTCCACCGGCCAGGTGCGAGCCTAGTCATCTCATGGGAGGAACCCTGTAGCGTCTCTCGGCTCGAAACATGCGCGTGTCGTTAGAGAAGCACGTAATGGGCTTCATTAAGAACCTAAAATATCGGAAATCGCTCCGGGAACGGACTGGAACCTGCCGGAGTTATCGGCTACAACTCGGCTCCCGGAGCAGCTCCGCGCTCCCGGACTTGACGTGTTACTCAACCTCGGCTAATAAGATGCTCGATTATAACGACATAACGACATAAATTGCTCGGGCCGTCGGCCAGTGTTATGACTGGGCCGCGGGTGTAATTTCGCCTCGGCAACCGCTGCTACTGCTGGGGATGTTGATGTTGTTGTTGTTGTCGTTGCTGCTGCTGTGCGCAGAGGATGGCGACCCGAGGACCAGCCAGATGGTCACGTCCGCTCCACGTGCAGCCAGACTGGGGTTGCTTCATTGTGGGCTCCACCCGGCCTTTGCAGATTGCATGTAGGCAAACCGCAGAACTGGGCGGTCTTTGCACCTGGCGCCCAGAAGTCGGTAGCTGGTCGGTTACTCCTTACAAGTTCTTGCTCGTTCCGAGAAGGAGTCAACCTAATGACGTGTAAAGTGTTGGGTGTTTTCAAAGTTCTGCAGTGCGATGATTTATGCAACTTAAGACAGGAATATTGTTCCTGAAGTTGTTTTTCTTGCTTGTTTCTCATTACTTCATATTTTTATCATTATTTTTTCCCTAATAACAAGACATTATCTAACACACACTCTCCTCTCTTCTGGAAGTATTTCTTTTTGAATACGATCATCAACGTGTTTGTTAACTTTTTCAGGCCAAATGTTAATTTCAGTCACAATGAATAAAAACTTAAAACTAACAATAAACCCAACAAGTTTCGAAACGATAAATAGCTTCATTAGCTATGAGTAGTTTCAGAAGTATTGAAATAATTTTAATTGATGAAAAGAACTACAATATTTTTATAACACCAACTTAATATCACCTATATATAAAATTAATTTCAAAACGTCACACATAACTACAGTAGTAAAATTATGTGACGCATTATTTACGCAGTGAAAGTAGTAAATGACGATAGAAAAGCAGTACCAAGAACCTAATAATGCATGATACATAAGGTAAACATGTATTAAATGAAAAGAAGGAATTCTCGAGGCAGAACCAATATAATAAGTTATTGAAGTCAAAAAAATTAACATAAAAACATATTCTTAATGACATAATATTGTAGCTATTGATAGATATTAAGCTACTGTAATAGAGCATTGAAGTACATCTAAGACTTTTACTGGTCACTTATTGACAGTGGCCTGCATTCACTGTTGTATCACAACCGAAAAACTTCACCTCTTACATGAAGAGCTGGATACCGCCCCATGTCTAAAAGCAAGTACGACAGACCCCTCTGGCCTACGATAAGAAGAAATACGAGCCTTCATCCGGGAGCAGCCGAGAGAAAACTATAAGCGGCGGACGAATTCTAACGGCGTCAGAAACACGGGGATTATATAGAAGCGTCGTATTAAAAGCCTTTCGAACAGATGGACCCCCAGGCACACACACATTCCTTTCAATGGACGGTGTCCATTGCTAAGCTATTTATATTCATACCATTCGCTTCAGCTCCAATGACAAAGACTAATAGAGAAGGCCACGACGTAAAGAGCGTGTAAAGTCGAGTGCAACGAAGAATAAAAAAAAGAGATAAAAACTTGAAACGAAGGCTTATAAAAGGACGCCGCTGTCAGTCGGAGGCGAGAAATCGAGATACCTCGATTGCTTCCGGAACAGAAAAAAAGGGGGTAAGGGTAAGAGAAAGACTGCAGTGTGGAGGCGGGCAAGAAACAGCTCTAGAGAACACATTTCCATAACGCAGGTCAGAACAGCACCTTATTACACACATACACAAACTGGTTATCGAACACAAACATGAATAAGTAAAAACTTTGGAAATAAATGCCTTGCAAAAGCATAATTTTTTGAATAACAATTGGAGTATTATTATAACTCACTGAGGACTTTATACGCACATGTTTAGGCAAATAATGATAGTATATTTCTTCGTTTTTGTGCGTGGTATACTATTTATCGACTAATTAGTAACAGCGGAGGAACTTTTTGTTAAGGTAACTTCGAAATTATAGTACTTCTTCGTGGGATACATGAAAAAGAATAATTCATCGAGAATGAACAAGAAAAAAATTTTTTTTCACTAAACAGAAAAAAATTTATTTGGACAGTCTTATCGCGCAGACACGTCGGAACGTAGTAAACATTTAACAAAACTCACCCAAACTAATTATTTCTAACCACTCTAAAACGCCCGACTTGTTTCGGTCATTTCCATGTAAACAGTATTCCACCTGCATTCAATTTTCATAAAATTAGTGCGGCGTTAATTTAAACAGAACGCTGGAAACGTTAAGTTTCATGGAAAGCCACCAAACGGCGGTTGAGAAACAATCTTGTCAAACGAGATCCGGAAAACAGCGGAGCGCGACGCCGCGTGGTGCGGTCCGGGGGGGGGGA